TTCTGCATTTTTTTAACCTTTCAAGTCTCCCGTTTTCCTTCGTTACCCATAATTGGAACGGGGGATTACTTAATACTAATTCTTAGGTTCTTCCTCTATTCTCTCCTGATGCCATGTCCTGGTTGATATTTTGTATTTTTAATATATTTAATGACTTTAATTTACGACCTCGCCTCAACCTGGCCCTAGATACTCTCTCCACAAAGCAAATCTACTTCTTTCATCTCTACATTAGAGCTGCCTTCCTGTCACTTCCTCTTCTTGTGATTCTTTATTTATCCTTATTTTGGTATGAAGAGGCAAATTCATTGTCAATATATTCCAGTTCAATTCTTGTCTAAGCAATTGTCGTCCATGTCTATAGTTTCTACAACTGAGTAGGAGGTGATCTGGTGTCTCACGCTTCCCACATCTGCACTTGTCATTCTCACTGTGTCCTTGTCTGAATAGGTATGCTTTGTGTTGAAAATAAACTAAGAATATGCAGAACTCTTCGAGTGGTCACGGAGAAATAACGAAGTATATACTTCAAAGGGTATCTGTAGTTGTGAATTATGTTTATAATAAAGGCTTGATCGAAACTCTTGATCTTTACTATGGGACATGAGACTGCCTATATACATTGATGTCTGGCAATGACATGGGCTAGAGTGTAATCCACCTTACGGGATACGACGGAACAAACTACAGATCTGATACCAGTAGCGCGTATTCTTGTCGTAGTCTCGAATATCAGATGTGAAAAAAATATTGTTTTAACTAGTATCAGATAGGCGACACCCGACAATCTTGATGGAGATATACTGAAACCACAAACACGGGGAGTGTCTAGATTGGTTTCGCAACACTTTACAATCCCTTCACCTGCCGGGTTTAGTGAATCAATCTATCCAAAATAATATCATACTTCACATCATCCATTAGATGATTGTCAGGAACTGAGGACAGAGGTTACTGGGATACAATGGTTGCCATGGGTTACGAATTGAGTAATCGAGTAGTAGAAGGTGGACTCTATGAGACCTAGGTTGCTCTGGTTACTATGATGTATATGTGGATTGGACAGAGCCGCAGTAGAGAGCCACGACCTGTCTTCCGTCTTCCACTTGCCTTGTCTCCGCTCCTAGATTCCCTCGTCCTTAGTTCTAGTTACAATTACAAATTTATACCTTGACTCTTACCAACCTCCTCAGATATTGCCCAAGTCACTCAGTAACACTCCCGATGCTACCTTTGGCTCCCTCAAATTTACAGATGTATTGCCTCATATTTCCTTCACTGAAAGGTTTGTTGTGAGGTTTTAACCGCTGCTTAAATGAGTTATATGCGCGATCAAGTTCTTCCTGTGTATGATTTGTAGACCAGCAACCCCTTTTTAACACGAAACATCTCTTGATTCTCATAGTATTACGAGATTTCCACTCGTACTTTCTATTTGTGGAGATTTCAAATTTGAATTCTTTGGATGGAAATTTGTTGTGTGGTAGCGGCGGTCAGTACACAAGGCATGAATTTTTGAACTATCATGGTATGCCAACTTACAGTCTATTGAAAAAGTATTGGAAGTGCTTCTATCAGTTGGGAGTTGGTCGAAATTGATAATTAGATATCAGAGCGTAATCCTTCAAATGTTGCTGATGGCTTTAATGTTGCGTTACAGTAAGCCTCCACGTCTCGGCACGCAAGTTGAAGTCGGTCTCTCATTGACTTATCAGTCTGGTATTCAATATCAAGACCGCGACGGATCCTCTGCATTTCATATACCAGTCCTTCAAAATAAACCAGGATTGATAATTCAGGATGTTTTCTAATTTGCGCGACTAAGGAGATATTGTGCAATTTGTTTAGCAACTAATATTGCTGTTCCTCTGTCTCAAAGTGTACTTTCAATTTATTAAAAATTTCCTCAAACCCAAAACCTTGTCCTATAATTTGATCATTGTAGTAATTGTTGTAAAGTGTGTATGGGTTCTAAGAGGAAACTCACTCAAAGAATATAGGCACAGCTTCAAAGTACTTCGTAGTAGTTCAATCAAATAAATTATTCACGTAAATCGTTCTTATTATTATATATTTTTTTTTTTGGTCAGAATATTAAAGAAATACTACGCCTAGGTTTCTACATATTACTCGTGTTCTTTGTCTGACGCTAAAACCAATTTCAGTCTAGTGCAATTGTGCGCCAAGTTATTCCTAAGCAGCCTTGCCGATCATCACCGACAATTGTGTAGCTCTAGAGTAAGCAACTGGTGCGAAATTCCAACAGTAATTGTGAGCAGCGCCTGTCAGCATGGCCGGGAAAACGCAATAAATTGCTATTTTGGTACTCCAAATGTTTCACAAATATTGTAGAATACTCTCTGTCACGGCGTAGAATAAGCAAAAGTGAGAGTAAAGCTGGTTTAACTATATATTCAATCTATTGACCAAATACTAACATAAAAAAGAAATAAAGAAATAAAGAAAGCCTAATGATAATAGAATCTACGAGCTTTTGTGTGTGTCCTCTCGCTTCCCAGGGTTGCATGACCTTATCTTATCTCCTCCCACATACTTGTTCCTCACCCAGCATACCTTCTTGGTCACCTGATATATGTAATGACACGGCAGAATGCCGTGCCGTTACATCACCCCCCCTCCAGTCCTTGATTGCTCCAAATCGACTAGTGCCGGCGTCGACGCCGGCTGTCTTTGTTGTGCTGGCTCGGTTGAGTTGTTAGGAGACAGGGGAACGGAGGATTGGCTGCTGGATTAGGAAAGGGTGGAAAATACAGGCTGGTGCACAGACGCTGTTCATGTACTCTACAATCTCTTCACCTGCCGAGTTTAGTGAATTAATCTATCCATATAATATCATACTTCACATCATCCATTAGATGATATTATCAATTGTCGGGATGTGACACGGTTTCATTACAAAATGCATGAGCGATGTTGTAGGTACAATATTTTAATTATAATTATCTGAAGAGAGAATTTCTGTACTTAATGACTACCTATATATACAGACTGAAATACCCCTCCTCAATAAGGTTCTCTCTATGACTTGTCAACTCAGACTCTCCGACAATCGCCTGTAGATCCTTGATACTTCTGTAACCCTCATGAGCTCTCAGTAGGGAGGGCAAGACTGAACACCTGTCAGTGGTGCTCTCTACGAACCTGGGAGTGAAATATTCTCCCAGAGCCAAGTTCAGTCAAATTTCGCAATATCAAAGAAGTTGGCCCACGAGGCGAAAATTCAAATTACTACACCATGTCAATCTTTCACTCCCAAAGAGTCCGATTCTCAACTAAGCTTCATCAAGTCTACAAGTACGACCTAGTACATCCTCGTTTCAATGACCACACCTCTCGTCGACTTTCTCTGGCCTCAGCCGGTCACCAAATACACGCCCACGCCGATATTTACACCCGACGGAGGAAGCAAAGCGTGGAGCACAATTTTGGGAGATAGCTCTTTGGGACGGACGTGAGGGATCAGGACAAGTTTACAAGATGATGCAGAAGAGGGATACATTCTCGACGGGCGTGAAATTTCGAATTTTGGAAAGAGTTTTACGAATTGAGCTTTGTGCGCGCCAAGGCTTCGCTTGCGAAAGTGCAGCTGACACTATAAACACAAGCCAACGATGGAAGGTGTTGTGGTCCGCCTCCTGGTGGTGTTCTCTGGTATGGTTTGAGTAGCCTGGGCACCTACTCCACTTGGGAAGGAGACACCTCAGATCACATATCGCGCGGAGAAAAGTTTAAAGATGATGGAGGCATGTCTGGATAACTCAGGGTTTATGAGACGTTCCCCTGGGTGGGTATTTACGGATGAGGGTTGACTTGGGGTAAAGAAAAAGCCACCACAACTTCGCAGTGGTACTTGCAAATGAAATCTGAGGCATGAGTGCTCCTATTATAAACTGAGTCATCTTTTCTGTACTTTTCTCTGATATTGTGTCATAGCTAGATAGCTGCATACGCAATTAAAATCTGATGCAAAAAAAATAAAAAAAAAAAGAGCTCTCAGTAGGTTTCAACAAGGTTCAATGTGAATCATCCCAGTTCCCTGTCATCCAAGATGTTTCTAGGAACCTCCCTTTGTATAATTGCCTGCACTAGACAGAGTAGGCTACAGGAACCCTTAGGCTTGACAGCCGTCACAGGATGCACATCTAGCATCACCTTCATTGATCACCATTGTCAGTAAGAGTGCACATTTGATACCTACTGACACCCATTTGGCCACAGTGATACACACTCAGTGTCTATTGTGCCATCACCCAGCGTGAGCGCGCCATCTCCGCGACTCGCCATTGCACATGAGCCCGTGTAACTCCACCGACGGACAGCAGAGTCATAATTGCCATACACCTCACAGCTCATAACACAACAGGGAGCCTCCCGTAAATTCAAGTTTTTGCTCTTGTCCACTAATTTGATGCACGCTCGCCTGGCTATGGTTTCTTTGGCCGAAGGGTAGAGAAAAAATAATGGGCAGAGAAAATATTTTAGTCTATGATCAAATAAGGACCTTTGAAGGGTGGCTTTATCTGAATGGAGTTTCTTGGGAGGTATGGGAGGAGATGTAGCACTCGAAATTTTGTACTTGAACCATTGGCGGAGATAATCTATATATTTTATCTACTCAACGACTGAGAATATACAAAAATAAAAAAATAGATTGGACTTTACAACATTTATACAGGTATTATACTGTTTAGGAGATTCTTTGATGTTTTATTGAGTATTCCATCGTGCATATTTACGTGTTTGACATACAGCCAAGACCAAAGTATTTGTCAACAAGACCACAGTGTGAGTTAATCAAGTTGGCACAGAGTGAGAGACGTCATTAACAAATCAAAAATTTCCAGAAGAGAAGAGAGCTGTATTGACTGACAATGTTCAAATGGCGCGCTTTATTTCTAGTCAATTGCGAAAATATTCTTTGCAACTTTCCATGAGCGGATCCTACATAATTGCAGATATCTGCAGAATTTTCGTGCCTGTTAACTAACATTTTCGAAAGTACATAGTTCCCATTTACCTCCTACATGTTGAGAGAATTGGTATTTTGGGGGTTGCCCGTATACTTGTAGTAAGTGGCCATATGTTTCTGTTCCTGGAAGGAACTGTTCAGACAAATTTTGGAGGAATGGGAAAACTAACCATCATTCCTTGAAGGGCCAGAAAAACAGTATGATGTGCACGATTCGCCCGTGGGAATAGCAGGGTTGCTAGGAAGGTTATCATCAATGCTAGCTTGCTGTGCCATTTCCAATATTCTTGTCATAGTAAACGGATCACCACGTGGACATCTAAACTGTCCATTTCCATAAGCGGTCGGTACCAGAAGTAAAAGACTGGCAAATGCTGCGGTTGTAGTAGCGCTGAGAAACTTCATTTCGACTATACAGTTCTGTGGAATCGAAGAATGAACTCGGGACACTAAGCTGTCTGATATTAGGGTCAGGGCTTAGCAGAGAGGAAGCAACAGCTATAATGAGTCTTAATTAAACTTTTTTTTGGTTGTTCTACTGCAAAATTTATATCAGCATGAGTCAAGGATGTGTTCGTCAAAAGCACAATAATGTTCCTTGTCTGGACCAAGGCCCTAGTGTAGTTATATATCTGACGGGGTTCACATTCAGTATATCTATATCTGTATTTGGATTTAAGGAAGCGGCAGCATGTGGGGTCTATTCCATGGCGTATGGCGCCAGAGGAATGAATGAGCCAAGCTCTGACTAAAAAGCTCCTTTATTGTTACTTATTGTGATGGGCGATCAACAAAACAATATAGTAAAGGAATGGTGGCCGATTACTGTCTATTTTCTACATACATCTCGGAACTGTCCACCGAGGGGATGCTACTTAAGGTGTCCCAACTCCCAATGCGCTAACCTCACTATCTATTCTACTACATCATATCCTTGATATTCCGAGTGGGCTCGTCATAGCGAATCTGGGTCGTATCGGCCCATGATTCCATATGAGACTTGCTGCAACAATATCTTGTTTCCATATTTGTTGCAACCCTGTATTTGTATGGCCAAGTTGGACATCTCTCTAGATAGCAAGGCTAATGACGTAATAATGATAAGTGTCCGTGCGACAGTCACTAGGAGATAGGCGCAGCCTGTAACATTATCCCCTCCTCACAGTACTTTTTTCTTTTTCTTTTTTTTTTACTCGTTTCTGTTTTTCAGGTGTAAAAATTTTTTGCCTTTTGCCAGTAACACCTATTCTTGCCCCGACATCTTCTTCCACGTCATCACCAACACCGTACCTTTCTTCAAAGATATCAAGAGCCTCCGTGTCTTCGAGACCTTGGCGCAATTCCCAGTTTGGCTCTTGAAAACCTCTCCACTTTACCAACACCTCCCTTCGGAAGCCCCGACCTTTCTTTCTCTTTTCGGCTCTGAAAATCTTTTCAACGAATTGCTCATTGTCACCATCAGGATTCACAAGCGGCGGTGGTTGCTCGTCTAACATAATTTGATACGGAAGGGGGTTTTGTGGATCTCGTTTTAACAAATCGACGTGAAATCTCGGATGTATACCCGATGGGACATCAAGTTCGACGACATGAGGGGATATAACTTTGAGGACGCGATATTTGGCGTTAACCCATGACAGCTTTTTACTAAGTTGTGGCGTCTCAATATTTTTTAGTTTTAACCAAACAAGGTCTCCCTCTTCAAACCTCTCTTGCGGAAGCCTCTTTTGATTAGATGCTGATTCCATTCGTTGTTGGACAAATGCCATGGCAGCTTGTGCATATTCCTGTCCATCTGTTATTCGCTGTACAAATTCCCTGGCTTTCTTTTCAGGTGCATCGGAATTTTTGGAAGGGGGCGGGATTTGTTCGATAGGTTCTGCGTGATAACCGTGTGTGAGGAAAAAAGGACTAAGACCGATGACTGTGTCTCTATTATTAAGAGCTAGCATAGCTGACGGAAGCATATCAGGCCATTCGTACTGAGCGTAGGATATAAAAGATCTAAGGTATGCCAACACTTCCTGATTCATCCTCTCTGTACTTCCATCCGTTTCAGGATGAAACGCCGTGGAAAGACGCTGCTCTATACCTACTAACTTACATAGATGGGTCCAGAAATTTCCAACCCAATTTGAACCACGATCAGAGGTTAAAAATAATGGAAATCCATGAAAACGATAGTGACAGTGTAAAAACCGCTCAGCACAGCATTCTGCTGACATTGAGCTCATAGCCTCAAGGGTGCAACTTTTCAGTAGTCGGTCTGTAATCACCATGAGATATCGAGAATCTTGTCTAGATTTTGCTGGCAGATCCGTCATAAAGTCGATTGACAATTCTGAATGGAAACGACTAGGTATCGGTAGCGGTAGGAGCAATCCTTTTTTCTTTTCTCGCCATACGTGAGATCGTCCACAAACATCGCAATTTTTACAGAAAGTTCTTACCATCGTCGATGCCCCTGGCCAAAAAAAACTCCTTGATAAGATAGCATATGTACTATCACGACCTGGGTGTCCCGTTATATACGAGTCGTGCGTATTTTGTATCAGAGCTGTCTGTAGGGGTTCCCAGTCTGGTACCCATATACGACGACGAAATCTAAGGACGCCTCTCTCATCAAAATCGCATTCTGAGATTGATACTTTCAGCTTAAGTTCTGTCGGGAAGGCCCGCTCACCATCTCGCAGAGCTTTGTACATGGTTCTTATGCCTTTGTCCTCTTCGCAACCTCTATTCCAAAGTATCTGAAGTTCTTCTTTTTGAAAGATACAATTGCCATCGGGCAACTGTATCTCAGTGCCAGATTCTGAAGGGATATTTAGGTAGACTGAAGCTGAGGTGATTTGAGAGGTTACCAACTTGTTAGAGTCGGTATCTGTTTTCATCCATGCATCTTTGATTAATTGTACTTGGCGACTCCTCAGCCGCTCGTCGCTTGCACAGCTCGGCATATCTTGTTCCCTGCGTGAAAGTGCGTCTGGTCTCAGCGAATTCTTTCCTGTTCTAAATTTTAGCTTAAAATTAAACTGGGAGAGAGTATGGCTCCATCGAACTTGACGCTCGGACAATCTTCTTGTGGTCATAAAATACTCCAAATTTTTGTGGTCTGAAAAAATTACGAATGCATGCTTGAGGCCCATCAACTCGCCTCTCCATTCTTTTAAAGCCAAGACAACCGCAAGCAATTCTTTGTCATAAATCTCGTAGTTGCATTCTGCGGGGCTTAATTTTTTTGAAAGGTATGCTACTGGGCGTAGAACTTTTGCATCATCGTATTGCAACAAGCACGCCCCCATAACATATCCCGAGCAGTCCGCTTCTACAATTGTCTTCCTATCCGGATCATAGAGAGCTAGTACTGGGGCCGTAATGAATAGCTTTTTCAGAACATCGAACGATGTTTGGTGCTCTTTAAGCCACAGGAAAGCGTGATCTTTTTTCGTTAAGTTGATAAGAGGCTGTGCAATTTCGCTGAAGTTGGGGATAAATTCACGGTAAAAATTTGCGAAACCTAGAAAGCTTCGAACTCCTTTTCCGGTTGTCGGAATTTCCCATGATTTTATGGCTTTAACTTTTTCAGGATCGACTTTAATTCCTTCACCAGCGCTTATAACAAATCCCAAATACTTTGTTTTCTTCACTGCAAAATCGCATTTATTTGGGTCCAGTTTTAAGCCGGCTATGTCTAGACGTTTGAACACAGATTCAACCTTAACCCAATGATCTTGGAGATCTCCGGAAGTGTAGATAAGAATATCATCAAGATACGCAGTGCAAAACTGGTCAAGATAATCTCCCAAGGATTCATTTACGTACCGCTGAAATGCAGCTGGAGCTCCTTGTAGCCCAAAGGGAGTGACTAGCCATTCAAAGGAGCCAAACCTTGTCCGAAAAGCAGTTTTTTTTTCGTCCCCCTTCCTAACTCGAAGTTTGTGGAATGCAGCGCGAACATCAACTTTGGTCATCCATGTCGATTTTGATATTGATCTCAGAGTTTCTCTTATCAGTGGTAGTGGGTACCGATCTTTTCCTGTGATTGCGTTCAAGGCTCTGTAGTCTACACAGAATCTCAAACCCCCATTTGGCTTTTTAACAAAGAGCACTGGTGCTCCTCCTGGCGAGCTGCTGGCTCTGATCCATCCTTTATCGAGATGATCATTTAGCGTTTTCCTTAAAACTAGGAGTTCATCTCTTGACATTCCATAAAGTGGGCCCCAAGGTATAGATTTTTCTCTACCTTGTTCGTCTCTTTCTAAATTGATTTTCATATCGGAATGTCGATGTGGGGGTAATTTACTTTGTCTGTCTTCGACAAAGAGATTGGACCAATGTTTTATGGAAGGAGGAAGTGTCCTTCTTATTTCCTCTGATGTTTCTTCGCTTTTTATCTCCAGAGCCTTGTTAAGATCTTGCATTGTAATGGCGAAAATCTTTGATCCTGTTTCCACCTTAGCAAGCTTCATTAGTGAAATAAATTTGCCACCCAATACTTTTTTAGCTGTAGCAACATGGTGTATTTCTTTTTTTAACTTCAATGAGGCCATGTTATTATACCAACCCTTTTCTCTGACAACCTGTCCGTACTTCTGAGAACCAAATCGAATCACTCGCTTCTTTGCAAGATAGACGACATCATTTTGTTCCATCCATGGTTTTCCCAGGATAATATCGTAGGAAAGGTCTTGGATAATATATCCATAGACCTTTTCTCGTCTACCGTCAATATCGAAGTCTGCAAAAGTCAATTCGTTTATTGTTCTTTGCTTCCCATCATTTTCTGCTAGTTGCAAGGATCTTTTTGGTATTTTTATGCGCGGAAGTTCCCATTTCTTCACGATCTCATTAGAAAATGCAGCATAACAGAGACAGCCTGTGTCAATCAAAGATTGCACAAAGAAACTTGAGTTTAACAGACAATCTATTAAAAATGGAGTACTGTTCAATTTATCTGTTTTTTTAACTAAATCAATGGAAAATGATTCTCCCTTGCTCTGAGCGCGACGTTGCTCAGAGCTTACTCTTCCCCCGAAACCTCACTGGTCTCCAACTCTTCATAGCTGACCTTTTCTTCTGTGTGGCTCTGTTTCCTTATCTTCGTGGGGCCTTTTACATAGGCGATCCTTGAAGCGAGATTTTGAGCTGGACCGAATTTAGTGCATGCGCGAGATAAATGACCTTTTTCTCGACACTGGACGCATCTTCCCTCGCTACACAAACTTTTAAATTCCTCCGGGGAACGCCATTTAGCCCTGGGCTTGTTGGTAATGTTTCGACTATTTAGGGAGTTTAGCGCTAGTTTGAGAGCCTCAATAGCATTAACTCCCCCCATCTTGGTATCTCCTTCATCGTCAAGGTCTGGTACGTGAAGATATCGGTCAGTTGTGCTGGAATGGTACTTG